CAGGCGCGCCATCGGTCGGAGCTCGGGGCAGGAGCTCAGGGCCCAGGCGCGCCGTCGGTCGGAGCTCTGGGCAGGAGCTCAGGGCCCAGGCGCGCCGTCGGTCGGAGCTCTGGGCAGGAGCTCAGGGCCCAGGCGCGCTGTCGGTCAGAGCTCGGGGCAGGAGCTCAGGGCCCAGGCGCGCTGTCTTCCTTCTCTGGCCACAGGCACGTCTCTAGCTCCTCTGTGCTGCGTTGGTGCAGCACAGACAGCATGAGTCTGTGCCGCCTGACCGGGTCCTCGCAGAGGGCTGGGGACCCTGCGGCTGGGTGCTGGGTGGAAGGAGCGGGCTGAGGAGTCGGCTGCCTGGACAGGGCGCGTGGGACCCTCCCGCCTGGGGAGCACGCCGGGCCCCCCAGGCCCCAGGGCCCCGGCCGCAAGGGGCTGCCCCGCCGGCCCGGCCTGGGGTGGGCCGTGTGGGGGCCGGGGCTGCTGTGCTCCCCCTCCACTCCTGTCACACAGGCCCGTGTCCTCCACGTCCTCTCCCCTCCCACATGGGGCCGGCCACGCGACCCCCACCAGGTGCACGGGGGCCCCACAAGGCCGCGCACATCCCCCCTCAGCCTCCCTCCCCCTCGAGAGGAAGGCAGGACTTGCCTGCCACGGGCCTCACACGGCTTGGCTGCGCCCTGCACAGCCGCCAAGTGTTCAATTCCTCAAACAGCCCCTACCCTCGACCCGCACGGGCACCACACCTCTGCCTGCCAGGACCCTGGCCGCGAGGCCGCGAGGCTGGCCTTACTGTGCGCAGAGCTATGCCAGGGCCCGGGAGGAGCGCTCGTGGGGCAGGGGCTGCTGTGCTACCTCTCTTCCCTGTGAAGATGGAATTGGGTTCCTGGTTCCCGGGAAGGAGGGGCTGCTTGCCATCTTTCCCCAGTGATAGTGTGGGACAGGGAACGCTGCTTGAAGGTGGAAATCGTGGGTGACCGAAGGCTTTGAGCAGTGTGGGGTCGGGGCTGGCCGGGCCTGGCCCACCGGAGCCCCGCCTGGGCCCTGCTGCCTGCGGTGCGCCACCTCGGCCTTCTTGGTCTCTTCCTGAAGGCAAGCTGTTTCCTTAGCGTGTACAAACCCCTCCACCACGTAACTGGGTGTTTATAGTTCTTTCCTTTACGAAGTAAGGCAATAATGAGACCGTGAGCGTGGCTGTGAGCAGGCTTAGACTCGTGATGTCCCGTCGCCAGGTGAGCGCGGGTGAGGAGCGGGGTGAAAGCAGACACCTGCCTGTTTTCACTCGAGGTTTTCCTAAAATGCTCCAATAGAACACGTTCCTCTTTAAAGACAAATTCCAGCCACTCAAACTCCAGGGTTGTTTAGTTTTTCTTTGTTTACTTTTTGAGCTTTCTAGTGTATTCAAATTAGCTGACTCTGGGCAAGGTTAGGTCAGAATGTGCTCCTCCTCCTCCTCCTCCGTGCTCCCCGCCTCTGCACACAGTGTGCTCCTCCTCCTCCTCCTCCGTGCTCCCCGCCTCTGTGCAGTGTGCTCCTCCTCCTCCTCCTCCGTGCTCCCCGCCTCTGCGCAGTGTGCTCCTCCTCCTCCTCCGTGCTCCCTGCCTCTGCGCAGTGTGCTCCTCCTCCTCCATGCTCCCCGCCTCTGCACACAGTGTGCTCCCCTCCTCTGCACACAGTGTGCTCCTCCTCCTCCGTGCTCCCCGCCTCTGTGCAGTGTGCTCCTCCTCCTCCGTGCTCCCCGCCTCTGCACACAGTGTGCTCCTCCTCCTCCGTGCTCCCCGCCTCTGCACACAGTGTGCTCCTCCTCCTCCTCCTCCGTGCTCCCCGCCTCTGCACACAGTGTGCTCCTCCTCTGTGCTCCCCTCCTCTGCACACAGTGTGCTCCTCCTCCTCCTCCGTGCTCCCCGCCTCTGCGCACAGTGTGCTCCTCCTCCTCCTCCGTGCTCCCCGCCTCTGCACACAGTGTGCTCCTCCTCCTCCTCCATGCTCCCCGCCTCTGCACACAGTGTGCTCCTCCTCCGTGTTCCCCGCCTCTGCACAGTGTGCTCCTCCTCCTCCTCCGTGCTCCCCGCCTCTGCACACAGTGTGCTCCTCCTCCGTGCTCCCCTCCTCTGCACACAGTGTGCTCCTCCTCCTCCTCCGTGCTCCCCGCCTCTGTGCACAGTGTGCTCCTCCTCCGTGCTCCCCGCCTCTGCACACAGTGCTCCTCCTCCTCCTCCGTGCTCCCCCCCTCTGCACACAGTGTGCTCCTCCTCCTCCGTGCTCCCCGCCTCTGTGCACAGTGTGCTCCTCCTCCTCCTCCTCCGTGCTCCCCTCCTCTGCACACAGTGCTCCTCCCCGTGCTCCCCTCCTCTGCACACAGTGCTCCTCCTCCGTGCTCCCCTCCTCTGCACACAGTGTGCTCCTCCTCCGTGCTCCCCACCTCTGCACACAGTGTGCTCCTTCTCCTCCTCCGTGCTCCCCGCCTCTGTGCACAGTGTGCTCCTCCTCCTCCTCCTCCGTGCTCCCCGCCTCTGCACACAGTGTGCTCCTCCTCCTCCTCCTCCGTGCTCCCCGCCTCTGCACAC